ACGCTAGTAGTAACAGGTGCCACGCTAGTAGTAACAGGTGCCACGCTTGTATGTTCCTAGCACATTGGGTTCGTTTGCAGGAGAGTGGATGGATGGAAGGCGGACCAGGCGGACGACGTGCCGACATGTGCTGGGTGAGTTGGGAGAGAAAGACGAAATGCGAAAGGGACAGAGAAAAGGACGGAGCAGTCTGAATCTAATAGCGATGGCCTCCAACCTAAAAGCCATGGCCACCCAACTATTGTCCTACAGAAAAACGAGAGAAAAGGAGAGAAGAAGGAGAGAAATGCTGCAGAATTAGATACTTATCAGGAAAGTAAAAAAGTGATCGCTCTTTTCACACTTGACAAAAAGGGCTTCGTCGGTCGTTCAACCCTGCACAACTTCACATGAAACTGCACAAGCACAAACTGTCTTCGAAGGGATTCGCTCCCCCTTCCCAGACTTGAATGGGATCCTTGAATCCCTTCCTTCACATCAAAACTGGTGTTCTTTTTCACACCTGCATTGAAGAAATTTCAAAAGTCGAGCCTCTAAGCCCAAGCCCTTGTCATTCATCATTTCATCACTTGCAAGCCACTAAACAGCCGCCATCTAAAAAGCACCTTCCCACGAGCAAACACTGCATTCTCCCAAGCGAATGAAGCATCCTTCACAGGTTCACGGAGCCTCCACAGCAGCCAGGCTAGCAAACCACGAAAAACTTCCACAGGGTGATCAGGAGCTTCAACATGAGCCCGGAGTCCCCACTGCCAGCTGACCTGATCTCGGAAGGGCGAGCTAGGATGCTATATCCCGACCACCTCTGCTTCAAGTAGTGCATCCCATGGCTGCCCTTTCTGACATCGGAACGGATCATCAACCGTCCATCTTCCATCCAGGCAACCGTGACAACTCCAGAGGCCAAGCCAGAATCCGACAATGGAACTGAAAGCTCACTGTCGAACAACTTCCTGCGCCAGCCTCCATGTCGATGGATCTTCAAAGAAACAATCCCTTGAGGAAATCTCTGGACCACTTCAAACGGAGTGCCACAGGTTGGAGTCACGCTCACGATGTCGATCACCTTCTTGGAAAACAGCCATGAAAACTCCTGCAACTCACCTTCCTTCAAGCGCTCCAGGAACACAGGCATAGTCTCACCCCTCGACGTGTAGACGTCAAAGAAGATGTTTCTTGGCATCCTGTCTCCCGCCCATTCCTCTCGGTCACTTCTTTCTGGTAGAGCTCCTCGTTCTGGTAGGGCTCCTTGATCTTGCCGTAGAGCTCCGAGACCTTGATGATCTGCCTCCCTCGGAATCACTCTTCGGACTGCTGGATTTGAACTACCAAAGCCACCCCCTCCACGAGATGTGGTTGACAGTTCACGAACCTCCACAACAGGCATCTCCGCAATCTTCTCGATGATGATCTGGGCGACTCGATCTCCCACTTCAAACGACTTGGACTGATCTCCTTGATTGGCCAAGATGACTTTCACTTCTCCCCGGTAGTCTGCATCCATCACACCACCAGCTACATCCAAGCCTTGGGATGCCAAAGAGCTCCTTGACGCAATTCGGCCATAGTGTCCTCTAGGAAGTTCCATTGCTACCCCCGTCGACACCAACTTCCTCTCTCCCGGAGCCAGTTGAAATGCCATGGAAGAGAAAAGATCCCAACCCGCTGCCCCTTCAGATCCTCGTTGAGGTAGGACTGCATTTTCATGCATTTTCATCAAGCAACTTCACCTTGATGTTCTCCTTTCCTGCAACCAGGCGCTGCAACCACGTCACCCCGAGGTCCTTGACCATGTGAAGAAGGCACACCAGCCCTGCCAGCACAAGCATCCAGCCCAAATCACTCATCACTGAAGTCTGACTTTTGGCTTCCAGCTCTCCCTTCTCGCATACTTCCTGAGCTGCTCCTTTAGGAAGAAGAGACACGCCAGCCAACATCGCCGCCATACACTTGGAAAGCCTCAACCCTTCGCCAGACACCATGACCGTCTGCTCGGTGTTCTGCGTGATAGGATCATGGCACAAATGAATGCCTCTGCAGAACTTCTCTAACGACTGTGCTGGAAGTGGTTTGGTGAGGGCGTCTGCCCACAAGGCACTACCCAACCGATGGTCCAGTGTGACCTCCCCAACTCTCAACGCTTCTGCCAAGCAGCTTGCACGGATCCGAAGATGGCGAGTTCTCCAACCGCCTCCCGACCCAGATGCCAGCACGATTGCCGCTCGATTGTCATTGACAAAGCCACGAGACTCTGCTTTCTGGTTTCCCACTGAACGGGACATCCTGCCAGTAAGATGATGGTTCCGGAAATGCTATGCCCATCTCCAGGACTGAAAGAGGCGTCCACAAGTACCTCCACCGTCCCCTTCTCCCTTGGTCGACGCCGACTCAGATCCGGGTCATCGTCGATGGGTACTCCAATCGGGTAGTACAAGCCCACATCCACTGAGGATCTCAAGTAGGCCAAAACAGCCTCCCCCATCTCCAAGGTCCAAAGTGGGCGTTTCACGGCACATTGAGACATCCTCATCACGGCCCAAGAAATGTCTGGCATGGTTTTGCTGGCCAACCACAACAGCTCACCAGTGATTTTCTGAGCTTCCTTCACCTTGGCCAGGACCGGGGTCCTCTCCTCAGGAGCCTTGATGAAGAATGCCTTTCCGCCACCCACATCAAGAACTTCTCTGGTGTAACATCCCTGATGCAGGTAGTAGGTGCCGTCAGACTGGCGCTGGATCTCAATGCCAAGGAAGCGCATAGGAGGACCCCCTGGAACTGAGTACTCTGGGTTTGATGTCGACCAAACCCTCTGGATCGTTGAAGCGGCCACATCCGTGACCTCCTTGTTTCCGACCATCAGGATGTCGTCGACGTACACGATCATGTAGCCCAGAACTCTCCCCCACACCTCCTCTGACGAAGATTTCCCTTTGCCCACAAATTCGAGTCCTTGATTGGTTGGAACCCGAAGTGCATCACATCATCTCCAGTCGACTCCTTGGGCACCTTCACCTCTCCCCTCATCTTCAACAGCTCAGCATCCCGGTACACACTCCAATCTTTCGGAGATGTCACCAAGCCATACATAGCGGATGTGACCACCCAATGTTCATCTGGTTTGGCCAGTTGAGCATCAACAAGAATCCTGGGAGGTTTGACAATGACCAGTTCTCCTTGAGCTTTGGGTGCAAGTAAAAACGCGGACTTCACGTCCAGAGACAAGCACTGCCAGTTTTCCAGGGATGCCACTCTGAGGGTAGCTTGCAGCTGCGTCGAGTCCGCACCTGAAGCATAAACCTCCTCCCCAGATCTCGCCTCCATGTAGTTTCCGCAGCAGACGATGCGAGCTCGCCTCCTCCCGTCACCTGCTTTAGTGATCTCGGCTCGCTGACCCTTGTCCTCCGCCTCCTTGACCATGTCCATTGCAAGAAGATTTCCTCCTCCTCGTGCTCCGACATCACAGCCTCTACCTCCATCCTTCTCATTGAAGCTCCAGACTCTGTCAACAGCTCTTCCAAAGCCGCATTCTCTTGATCCATGTCCATCACCAGTGGCACCTCCGCGAACTCCAGATTGGCCTCCACAAACTGGAACTGATTTGCCCATGCCTGACCCCTCAGCAACTGTTGGACCACACCGGCGAGCGCTGTCTTCTCCGTCAGGCTCAGTCCGTTCGGATCGCTTGCCACCATGTCTCCATCTCCACCTGACCGACCCAATTCCCGAACGCCAATGCCGAACGTGACCATCACACGTTGCGGAAGCTGAGAAAGCCCAAAGTGGCCAGTTGTCGCCCTCGACGCTCCCCCTGCTTTGCAGCGGCCAGTTCTCGCCCTCGGACTACGAAGACCTTCGGACTTCGGAAGGCGGTATCTCTGCTTCTGCTCTTCGGTTCGGCGATCTTCACACCGCTTCGTGCCCCGCATCTCCGCATCGCACTCTTCGAGCACAGATTTTTACACATTCGACACGAGGGTTTCCACGGTGTTCTGGATCTCCTCTTCCGCTTCAACCTCCCTTTTCCACTCCTCTAGGCCCTTGGCGTCTTCCTCGGACTCAGCTTCCTCCACCTCCTCCTCCAAGGCCGGAAGTAGCTCGTCTCCGTCAGGTTCTCCTCCTTCTTCATGGGCTCCCAAGGTCTCTTCCAAGCTCAAAGGGAGTGCAGTGATCTTTCCCTCCACCTTCCGCACCGGGATGGAGAACACACCCACCATGAAGTACTTCGCCTTAGCCATCCTGTCTTGACCAGGTCTGAAGGGTCCACAAAGATCAACACTCAACGTGTTGGCATCTGGATGCTGAACTTTCTTGTGAGGACGGCTCCGGCCACTTCCTTGAAGGCATGTCGTGCACTC